TGCTCCCTCACTTCCCTATTTACCCGTCAGAGGTATATGACTCACCACCATTCATTTCATGTTACAGTGCTAGTCCTTGGTGACTGGCACCTTAGGCACCCAAAGCTGGAACATAGGACCAGGGAGACATTGTGTAAGCTCCATGTCATGACCTAGGATTTACTCTTCTTCTTCTCTTTGCTCTTCGTGGTCTTCATGGTTCAGGGAAGGGGAGGTCACAGGCATGTGTTCTTTGCCAACATAGTTTTAGTAAAAAGTGTCCCTCTTTCTCATTGCAGTAAGTTTTCAAACTATACTTTCATTGTATCATGTAACATGTCAGAAGTGTTGTCCACCATCATGTCCTCACTTACCTTAAGGAAGACAGCCTTCACCTTCCCACAATCCTTTCCAGTCTCCTCATCCACAATGGAATACAAGATATCCTTTGAGGGTAAGCGGGCGTAGGCGATGCGCTTATTATTACTCATCATCCAGATGAAGACATCTGGGATACTGTGCTGTGGCTGAGGAGAAGAAACATAGAAACAAATATGAATTCAGAGCTGGGAATGCCAAAAGAACCCAAAACTGTGTCTGTAAAGAAGGACATTTATATATACTGTGTATACAGCACAAGTCGATTTGAAACACACATATCATTGGGGGCAGTAAAGGGTGAGAGGGTTGGTCAATAATTTGCCCTGGGGTCCTTAGTCACCTATAGTTTGGTTCATTTCAGATAAGGGCCAGGACTTCACACAGCCCTTGGCACTGCATTTGGAGATAAGAGTGGAAAGGGAGGGGGACAGCAAGTTAAGAGCTTTGGGGTTAAAGATTAAATAAAGCTCAAATTCGGACACAAGAAAAAATACTATCCTTGCAGTGCCCCCCCTCCCCACACCACACACACACTGCAAGGGTTAAATGTGAAATTTTGCCTAGGAGCACCTTATTTATTACTTCAGCAGGCCCCCTTCTTCTATGCAACCGGTTTCATAAAGACTCCTCTGTAAAGGTGCTACCGGGCCGTGGTCGCACCCCTGTCTGCTCTCCATACTATATAGGGTTAATATCCCTGCATTGTATGCAATGATGCTAAGGGAACGCCCACATCCTGGAATGTCAGGTAGAAGAGGAGGTTAATGGAGCTTGCCAGGACATGGGGTTAGGGTATGCAACCTCCTCGTCTACCCCTAGACTTAACGAGCATTTAACCCTTGTAGTATGGGGGATCCCACCGCAAGGTTTTTTTTGATCCAGCCCAGAGTATGTACAAACACCTTGTGATGATGTTGTATACCAGTATGTATATGGGAATGTGGTGCACTCCAAACAAGATTCCACCGTTTTCCTAAACGTTGGATTTATTCATCCAAAAAATACAGCTGCAACGTTTCTGAGCTCTACATCAGCTCCTTCATCAGGCAGCAGTGACAAGACCTGCCACTCCTTAGCCAATGAGATACAAGCCCAACCTCATAACCAAAATGGTGCCCTGTGAGAATTGTATATTCCTACTTACTTTGGCCAGTGATAAAGCAGCCAATGCTTGTGATCATCTTTTCTGGGGAATTATTTGTCTATTTGGTGGTATCTTGGTTATGGAGTTGGGTTGGTGGTATCTTGGTTATGGGGTTGGGTTGGTGATATCTTGGTTTTGGGGTTCAGTTGGTGGTATCTTGGTTATGGGGTTGAGTTGGTGGTATCTTGGTTATGGGGTTGAGTTGGTGGTATCTTGGTTATGGGGTTGAGTTGGTGGTATCTTGGTTATGGGGTTGAGTTGGTGGTATCTTGGTTATGGGGTTGAGTTGGTGGTATCTTGGTTATGGGGTTGAGTTGGTGGTATCTTGGTTATGGGGTTGAGTTGGTGGTATCTTGGTTATGGGGTTGAGTTGGTGGTATCTTGGTTATGGGGTTGAGTTGGTGGTATCTTGGTTATGGGGTTGAGTTGGTGGTATCTTGGTTATGGGGTTGAGTTGGTGGTATCTTGGTTATGGGGTTGAGTTGGTGGTATCTTGGTTATGGGGTTGAGTTGGTGGTATCTTGGTTATGGGGTTGAGTTGGTGGTATCTTGGTTATGGGGTTGAGTTGGTGGTATCTTGGTTATGGGGTTGAGTTGGTGGTATCTTGGTTATGGGGTTGAGTTGGTGGTATCTTGGTTATGGGGTTGAGTTGGTGGTATCTTGGTTATGGGGTTGAGTTGGTGGTATCTTGGTTATGGGGTTGAGTTGGTGGTATCTTGGTTATGGGGTTGAGTTGGTGGTATCTTGGTTATGGAGTTGGGTTGGTGGTATCTTGGCTATGGGGTTGGGTTGGTGGTATCTTGGTTATGGGGTTGGGATGGTGGTATCTTTGTTATGGGGTTCAGTTGGTGGTATCTTGGTTATGGGGTTCAGTTGGTGGTATCTTGGTCATGGAGTTGGGTTGGTGGTATCTTGATGATGGGGTTGGGTATGTGGTATCTTGGTTATGGGGTTAGGTTGGTGGTATCTTGGTTATGGAGTTGGGTTGGTGGTATCTATGCTATGGAGTTGGGTTGGTGGTATCTTGGTTATAGGGGTTGGGTTGGTGGTATCTTGGTTATGGGGTTTGGTTGGTGATATCTTGGCTATGGAGTTGGGTTGGTGGTATCTTGGCTATGGAGTTGGGTTGGTGGTATCTTGGCTATGGGGTTGGATTTGTATCTGATTGGCTTTTTACACGATGTAAGGAGTGGCAGTTTTAAACATTTTGAGGATGGAGCTGATGTAGAGCTCTGACAAGTAGCTGCAGTATTTTTATGAAAAATAAATGGAACTCAAGTGAGCAGATGATGTGCTGGTGATATCAGCTAATGTCCACAACTATGTTGTTGAGGGTTCCAAAATCAGAGAATGGCCCTCCATTGTGTGTCAGCAGTACTGCAGCCAAACTTTTTTATAGATTTGAACAATAAGTAACGTGTAGAACATGGGTAGGCAACCTCGGCACCCATGCTGTGGTAAAATTACAATTCCCATCATGCCTCTGCCTTCGGGAGTCATGCTTGCACTGCCTCGTGGAACTTGTAGTTTCACCACAGCTGGAGTGCCGAGGTTGCCCACCTCTAATCTTAAATATCGTTTAGGTCTTATTGCACTCTCTAACCCCTTTGGGCACATCCACCCAAACTATTGGTCTTGGTGGTCATTGTAACAGGGGGGAGCATGAGGGGAAATCTCAAATATTTTGGGGGTCATTACAACAGGAGTATGGTCACTTTTACTCTTGTTCTTCCCAGTTGGTACACAGACAACACTAAAAACCTGATAAAGACTCTAACTCTTTCCCACCCAACCCAACACCAAAAATGGAAGCATTGCTGAAGAGCCTAAATCTAATCCCAAGAATTAAATGTCATATGTCATGTTTGCTCTTGAATTTAAATACACATGAGGTTGATGCTCAGGCCCCCTGCTATCCACCCACAACCATGTACCCAATGTATGTAACAGAGTGATGTATGATGTAGCTCACCTCATCAGCCAGGAATCGCAGTTTCTGAAGGAAGTTCTGGACCAGTTTCAGTTTATCTTTTATGGTGTTCTTCTTCACCTGAGACCTCATCGTCTTGGCTTGTGTCCCCATGTTCTCCTGCAGGGGTGGAGGCACAGTGAGGACACACATAGAATATACAGCGGCAACAGAAAGTCTCAACCAAGATCCTTCTACACTCTATAGTGAAGTGGAGGTCCACTATAGAGGTCCTCTATATGCAGAGGTCCTCTGACCTCTATAGTGTCTGGATTCTAGGTGTCCGTGCACTTTGATAGTCATGTTTCGTCTTTGTCTTGCCTTATTAAATGGAAAACAAGATGTGTCAGGACTTACCAGCTCTCGCATACAGGATTTTAATCTCTCGCGGTCCAGTTTAGTCCGACCATTCTGATTCTGATCCTTGTTGGCCAGCGTGACAAAACGACTGCAAAGAAAGTTCATTTTAAAGAAAATCACCAAAATGCTTTAACACACCAACAGAACTTGTAGATTTCCCAAGCTGGGCAAAGATATAGGTTCTCTTTACTGAACGGAGCATACATAGCATGTGTACCAATCTTCACCCTTCCACAGCCTTCCTCGCTGCCACAACCCACAGCCTGAGCCTGAAGAAATACTTGGTAGCTCCGGGTATGAGGGAAGAGGACCCTTGACCTGAGGGACTTCAAAGATCTTGATGAAGTGAAAAGCAAGTCCCGCTGAGGGACCTTCAGAGAAGATGAATGAAGAAAGCCAAAAATGGAAAAAAGAAAATGACTCAAAAGCATTATGGTTTCCCTCTAAGGGTAAAATAGCATTCAGGTTTTCTGACATTGTTGGGCAATCCCCTCTCACCCCAATCTGCTGCGAGGCCACCACAAGTTCCTTTGAAAGCTTTTTCTAGCTAAGGAAGTTGGAACATGATGTGTGGAAGAAACAGAGCATGAAAGAGGTTAATTTTTGGGTGACTATCTCATTAAATTATCCTTATTGGCACTCCTTTTCTTTTACACATCAGGTGTTCATCAAGACAAAACTTGCAATGGGTGGCCTTGCAGCAGATTGGGGTGACGGAAGAGTGCCCAACAATTTCAGAAACCTGAATAAAATTTTACCCTAAAGGGGAAACTATGATGTTTGTTTTTTCCTTCCTTTCTTCTTCACTCCAAGTCTTCCCTGAAGTTCCATCATCAGGACTTGTTTCTTCACATTATCAGGGTCTTAGAAATCCCTCAGATCCAGGATCTTTTTTACCCAGGTGGTATTTCTGCAGGCTCATGCTGTTGATTGTGGCAGCGGGGAAGCAAGGGTGAAGATTTCCCCCTTAAGGCTGGATCACAGCACAAAGTCTGCGTTCCAGAGCGTTCGTTCCTGCATTTTTGCAGATCGCACTGGAGCGGAACGCAGGCATTAATGTGCCACGTGTTCGGGTGCAGGCGATCTCACTGCGGGCGGGGGGGTGGGGTGTGTGTGGCTGCGGTGCCATTGACTTTAATGCAGCACCACGCCCCCATCCCACCCCTGAACGTAGGGAGCTGGCCGGCTTGCATTCCAGAGGCCGAACGCTCTGGAATGCAGACTTTGTGGTGTGAACCGGCCCTAAGGGGAAACTATAGTGTAATGCTGAGGCTGCCCTGTGATGTGCGGGATCCCTTGTGCGTCCCTGTGCCTGTAAGGAGGTTGGGCTTCCTCCTGACAAACCTGCACCCAATGTAATCTTTTGCCCCAGGTGCTCCAAGATGGAGACTCTCATAGTTTAAAGTTAGGACCTCACTATATAGAGGTGCCTTGACGTGGCTGTGCGGCTTTCACATTTTCTGCAGAAGACGTGTATCCAAACCTCTGCTTTTAAACTTAGCGGTGAGACAAGTTTTTTTGCAAGCTTGCTGGTGAGTGTGCCGGAAAACTTTTTGCTGTTTTACTGTTTGAAGTCCTTCCATGTGCACCTTGCTGTAAAGATGGTAACGAATTGATGAGTGTGTTTGCCATTTGTTTTGCTTGGCCAGATATAATGTCTGCATGTCATAACATCCACCAGCAGGAGGCATCATAATGTATCCAACAGGGGGCAGTACATACTACCATCATATTGTATCCAGCAGGGGGCAGTACATACTACCATCATATTGTATCCAGCAGGGGGCAGTACATACTACCATCATATTGTAATATGCAGGGGGCAGTACATACTACCATCATAATGTATCCAGCAGAGTGTAGTACATACTACCATCATATTGTATCCAGCATGGGGTAGTACACACTACAATCATATTGTATCCAGCAGGGGGCAGTACATACTACCATCATATTGTAATATGCAGGGGGCAGTACATACTACCATCATATTGTAATATGCAGGGGGCAGTACATACTACCATCATATTGTAATATGCAGGGGGCAGTACATACTACCATCATATTGTAATATGCAGGGGGCAGTACATACTACCATCATATTGTAATATGCAGGGGGCAGTACATACTACCATCATATTGTAATATGCAGGGGGCAGTACATACTACCATCATATTGTAATATGCAGGGGGCAGTACATACTACCATCATAATGTATCCAGCAGGGGGCAGTACATACTACCATCATCATGTATCCAGAAGAGGGCAGTACATACTACCATCATCATGTATCCAGCAGGGGGCAGTACATACTACAATCATATTGTATCCAGCATGGGGTAGTACACACTACAATCATATTGTATCCAGCAGGGGGCAGTACATACTACCATCATAATGTATCCAACGGGGGGCAGTACATACTACCATCATATTGTATCCAGCAGAGTGCAGTACATACTACCATCATCATGTATCCAGCAGGGGGCAGTACATATTACCATCATTATGTATCCAGCAGGGGGCAGTACATACTACCATCATATTGTATCCAGCAGGGGGCAGTACACACTACCATCATAATGTATCCAGCATTGGGCATCAGACAGCCCATATTGTCTATCCATACCAGGTATTATATGAAAGGTGTATAGGTGGTGGTGGTACAGGTACAGTGTACTTACAAGCAGGCGCTGCTCAGCTCTTCCAGCACCCCCCGCAGCCTCCTCTCTGGATATGACTTCTCTGTTTTTATCATCTCATGGACGTCATTCAACCCTTCCTCCTGCAGGAGCAGAGCAAAGGGAATACATTCAGGTCTTATAAACAACATTATTATTATTACATAGTATTTATATAGCGCCTTACAATATAAGGAAGACATAACAGTTACAATACAATTCAAGACAAGATGGTAAGGAGGGCCCTGCCCCTGAGGGCTTACAATCTAAAAGATGTGACAATCATATACAGCTCCCTTTCACTTTACTGACAAAATCTTAAAAACATGATATGACACCATCGCACACCTCCTTAACTCCTCAATGCACGGCAGAGAAGCTTTTTCAAAAGCTGTGTAGCCTAGAGTTCTTCTTTACAGTAGATGGAACTCTACCATGCTAATGTCAGTTGTATGTGATGCCCTGTTCCGACCTAGAGGAAGCAAGCTGCAACTGTCCCCCACGAGAGACATGAGTGACTGGCTGAGTGGAAAGTAGACACGGGAACTGTAACACTCACCCTGGTACCTGAAACTATAGCTGGTGGTATATCTCCACCTATAGCAGCCCCTATTCCCTTAAGATGAGCAAGCTTAGAGGTACTTGGTTGCAATAGTTTTTGGCCAGGTAGCAGAAAGGAACCGAATGAAAGAAAAGGACAAGAGTACCTGTATTCCTCAGAAATATCAGGCACGGGCCTGAGCTCAGCTAGTGAGTATCCCATAACAAGGTTCAGAGGCTGCTGGTGGTCAGGGCAGGCAGCGGGTGATAAGCATATTCCGGGCACAGTTTAAGGTCAGGGCAGGCAGCAGATGAAGCATAATTAATAAAGCAGGCAAGGGGGTCAGTAAAACTAGGCACGGTTGGCAGGGGCGAGCAGGGTATGTCAAGAGTGCAGGAGCCAGGTAGTCCTCAGCTTTTCTGATGTTTAAACAGAGTGCCACAGTGCTGCAGCCAATGAGAGGGTTGAAGGCTAAGCAGATGGAGCCGACCTGCTGCTTAGCACCGGGACACCTGTAGAGAGGCGTAGCATGGCTAGCCAATAGAAGTGTGTGGCATTGCTGCCAGTTGGACTTGTTGTCCACCAACTACCAACACTTTGGCCAAGCAGGAGAGAGTTGTTGGGTGGTGGACTGCTGAGTATGTCTCTCGCGCCGAATAGTAACCTTTCCATGCTGTCCTGCCTTGGAACACAAAGAATGACACACCACTTTAACCTCAATTTCCAAGGAGCTACATTCTAAGTTATGGGTCCAGTGGGAGGGATCCAGAGAGCTTAGAAAGATGTACAGAAGACCAAGGACTGGGTTCTATGGAAAAGACCTTCAGGTGTCCTGTGCACCCTCCACCCTCCTTGCTATTCTCCATACACTAGGGCAATAAACCTGTTCAAGCTTAACTTGGAGCAGACCCTTCCTCCCACCAGAGAAAGGAATTACTCCCTGTGGTGAAGTGCCGGGACCTTATTGCCCTAGTAGGTGGACTTAGGGCATTCACAATGTAGCCATTGGTCATCTGGAAGCCGGTCTTTACTGAACATCAGAACCCACAGTGCTACATTTGCATTCTGCAGATTGTTTTCACTGGCTGAACGGTGTAATTATGATCCCTTTTCCTCTCCTGGGTTCTTCTGACAATTACCTAACACAGTTCAGTCCCATTACAAGCTCCCCGGTGCTGCTGCGCAATTAAATCCCTCTCCAGAGCCGCCTTCAGACATGGCTGCACTTGTAATTAGCGGTTCTTACAGCACCAAGGTGTGAGCAACAGCTGCATTCTTCAATGTTAATATAAACCTCACTGCAGGTAAGGGAGCATTGTAATAGAGGACGTTATGGAAGGACTCTGCAATGATCTAGCACAACACCCCCAGTTCAATGTCTTTAGAAAGCAGCCACATCCTGAGCAGAAAAGCCTGTCCCCTGTCAGCATGCTGCAGAGAGTTACCTTTGCTCTCTAAGGGGAATCAGTGGTTTCTCTGGACAATGGTCTAGCACAACACCCAGGGTCGGATTTACTCTCCCTGCTGCCCCAAGGCCAGGTCCTGTGATGCTCTAATGTAGAGAGGGCAACTTCCCCACAAGGACACCGCTGCCGCCCCTCTGCGCCCTGCTGCCCCGGCCGCCCCCGCATATTCACCAGGCGAAGTTACTAATGAACTCTATTTTCCAATACTTATCTCTAAGTTCAAACTCTGTCTCCTGTCTGGTCTCAGCTCTTCCTGACCTTTTATATGCCGATCAATCAGCTATCCAACCCGACTCCAGTGATGTTCTGTGATCCAGTACCAGCTACAGGTAGTGAGAGTGCCGGTCCTATCCTGAGACCAGACTTTCCTAATTGGTTCTGGAGGTGTAAGGCCATAGCCGGGAGCTTGCGTATTACTACGTATGCGCGGGTCCCAGTCTTCCGGGTTGCCGGGAAACATGCGTTAGCATGCATGCGCGCACAAGGGAATGTGGCACACAGGATGTGACACAGTGGCGCACAGGAAATTACTTCTCTGCCCTCTAATAGATGTTCCTATTTAAGCCAGCTGGCCCAATGGGTCAGTGCTGAACGGTCTTTCAGCTTGTGTTCCTATGTTCCTGCTGATCTGTTGCCTGTTACCTCGACCCGGATTGCTGCTGACTTCGACTGATTGCTGCCTGCCCCTGACCTCTGCTTGTTATCTGGACTCTGCCTGTTCCTTCTGTACCCTGCTGACCATCTGGCTTGAACCCTGGCTTGTTTGACCTCGCTCCAGTTTCTGCTGCAAACCTCGCTGACATCACAGCTGTGCACCAGCCCTGCTCATCCTTCCAATGATCCAGTTGCCGGACTTCTACCAGGCACCGTGTCTGAACACTTTGGCACCCGTGCTTCTCTTTGTCTACACGCTACCTGTTTCCACATCCAGGGGTGTGAGATAAGAGCCACAAGGGAGGCCTCCTCAGCTAAATGGTCCTCCATCAGGTACGTGATAGGAGGCCTTTTGGATAAAGTCTTCTACTTCCTGTTTGGTAAATTCAAACCCTTCCTTGCCCTATCCAAAATGTCAGATCATTACAATTCTCCACTTGTGCTCTATGGTGAGATGTTGAGTGAATTGTAGGGTGAGGGGTCTCCAGAAATGACAGAATGAACCTCGCCATCACTGACCAGCTTGTCTGCAATCTTGTCCATGATGTTGGCATTGTAGAGTCTCCTCCTCTGGTCCTGCCACCAGCTCTTAATATAGATGCATGGCTTCCTGTCAAAGTACGGGAGGTGGAAGTAGTTCCTGTGGAAAAACATGTACAACAGGCAGGTGAGGGACAGCTGACACAATGAGGACTATGTGGAGGACATTCCGTATGGGGAATCACACCTCACTGTGCTAGAAAATCTGAAGTAAATCCTAGAAGTCACCAAAAAGTCAGATGTAGAATTTTGTTATGGGGGTGCTCTGTGTGGTACCATGGGGGGCCACTGACATGTGATATGGTGGGTGGTAGGAGCTCTTTGAAATATGCGGGGGTCAATGTGTGCCCTAATGGGAAGGTTGCTGTGTGGCATTAAACCATAGTTCCTCTACAACCATGTATCTTTAAACATGCCATGTTTGGTCACGCCCACGTTTATCCAGTATACCTTTCTCATGTCGCCCATTGGTGGAACCTGTCCAATGCCACTTGTGTGTTGATATTTCACTAAGGCAGCACCAGCTGGTTGGGTCAATAGGAACTCTGAGACTGCTAACACGCTGACTTCTGGAACTCACTAATTGTAAAAGAGTCAAAAAGCAGGGAAGCCAGAGGTTCAGCATAACAGCAAGGCAGCTCGCATTTTCAGATGGACTGCAATGGCTGCCTCTGATTTTCTGTATTGACAGGTTTACTTTAAAGCAGTGTTTGTTAACCTGTGTAACCTCAGGACCCATATTTGTCCTCGGTCGTTAACTGGCAACCTAAGTCACACTGCAATGGAACGCACGGAGTGTGGGCTGCTGTGCTGTGATGGAGCTCCATCCATATGTGCATTGCTTTTACAGCTTCCATGCGCGGCCCGTAGAAATGCCGGGAGCCAGAATGTGATGTCACTCCAGTCCAGGCACCTCTACAGGATATGCATGGGAGCTTTAAGCAATGCACGTATGGATGAAGCTCCCTCGCGGCCATACCCCCAGCACACAACACCCTGTAGAGTCGACACTCTACACTGGGCAGCATATTTTGAATGGCTGCTCGGTGTGAGAATGGTCAGTACTGCTATAGGGGGAGGCTGAGGAGCTTCTCGCCTAGAAAAGTGGAAGGCAAGCGGCGATCCACTGAACATGGGACCGCGACCCACTTTTGGGTCACGACCCACCAGTTGAGAACCAAGGCTTTAAAGGATAAGTGCACTCTAAAACAAAGTCCACTTATCTCTTTTGCCCCTTTACCCTCACCTAACCTAACCCCCCTGCTCCTCCACAGATGCATACTCAAGGCCCGGCGCTACCGCAAGGCAAGTCAGGCGGCCGCCTTACAGCGCTGCAGGGTGAGGGCGGAAAAAACAGGGCATTTTGACAAGTACGAGTAATTGTCAAAATGCCCTGTTTTTACAGGGGTCGGGGAGGGGGGCGCAAACATGCACCTTGCCTGTGTGGGCACGAATCCTAGCACCGCCCCTGGCCACCGGTGTTTTTATGGTGGCCAGGCCTGCACATCACATCCCCATAGACTTCTATGGAACCGTTTCCAATCTTCTCCGGCTCAGGACACCAAGCCCCATAGAAGTCTATAGCCTTGTAATGCACAGGCGCGGCCATGATGTAAAGAAACCCCGGAGGCTGTGGCCATGGGATCGAGGTGAGTATGCATCTGTGGAGGAGGGGCAGGTGGGCTAGTTTAGGACAGGCTAAAGGGACAAAAGGGATAGGTGCACCTTGTTTTCAAGTGCCCTTATCCTTTAAAGGACAACTGTACCTTTAGTATAAGTTGTTCTTCAATAAATCTTCCCCCCTTGAGTCCAGTCCTCCAAGTTACATACTTGCCTTCCTATTCACTACAGTGATCTTAACTGTGTGCCCCTGAGGACTGCCTTTACTCTGAAAACATCCCCACTGGGCCGTGGCCCCACTCATTCCAATGGGGAGCCGTACTCCGCTGGACCACTAGTGGATGCCATGAGTGAAGTAAATTTTTTCAGAGGCAGGGCCACACATAGAAGATGAGCGGAATGGGGAGGAAGTCAAGTATTTTTCTCACTGATGATTCTGATCTTGTACGTCTCACCTGTCTGTTATAAAGGGTTTCATTGTTGGCGTGCAGGAGACAGACTGCATTTCCCCATCATCGTCTGCTTCATCCTCACTGGAGTTCTGAAGGAGTTCCGTCTCTTCCTCCACCCCGTCGCCTCCTTCCTTTTTTTTCCGTAGACCTGGCCGGGTCGTCCCATCAACTTGGTTCCCATAGTTTCCTACAAAATACAATGTCAGCGAGAGCACTACAAACAGCTTAATCTTTAGAGGGAAGCTGGAATTGCTTGTGGATTTTTTTTTTTATGTTTTCAAATGTATTATTATTTACACATGAGTTTTTTCTTACTATTTACAATCATATTCAAACCATGTAATGCAGGGTACACCCATGACACTGATGTCACAGAGCATTAAAGGTTTTGTAAAGAGAAAATGCAGCAGAAGCTGTTTGCTTTCAGACCGTCTCTCTCTAATTGACACTCTGTGCAGAGCTGTGTAGAGAACAGAGAGATATGGGGGTGGAAAAGGAGATCAGCCCCTCCTCTGCCTCATTCAGTTGTGTGTGTAATGTGGAAACTATTGTGGTCCGTAAAAAACAGCAAAACAGTTAAAATCCCATCATCATTATGTTAAAAAGGAACTAATTAAAGAAGAGTAAACAATTTTTAAAAATGTAAGTCCTATATATAACAAAATGAAAAGCAATAAAAACTACCTTTAAATTGTAGCCCCCATCGCCTTCTGTGATGTGGCTACTAGACATTTAGTGATAGCCGGGGCTGTAGTCAGCCTGGATGGATTTATAGTGGCAATTATCTGGTTAATTCCAGGTGTCTGGCATTGCCTGTACCCCTCTGGGCGGAGTGTGACTCTGTCATATTGTGGGACAGCCAATGAGAGGCACTGTAGTGTATGTACAGTACAGCAGCCAATCACTGAGTTTCTCTCTGTCAGTGGTGCATGCTGGGATAGGGTACATATACTGGAGGGGTTTGCCATGTGCTCAGACTAGCCGGGACCAGCCATGGAATAGGGCTGGGTGCTGTTCAGCCTGCCCACCAGGCTAGGCCTGAGAGTATGCATGGGCTGTTGTGAGGGAAAGGTTTCCCTGAGGCCTCCAACATGGAGGAGGCCTGTGATGCTGATAGAGGAAGAGAACCAGGACCAATACAGGCTCTTGAAGTGCCCTGGAACTATGAGGACTTCAGGGGCATGGTCGGTGTCTTTCCTGCTTGAAGATCTGTATCCATCCTATCTGTCTGTTACATCAGTTGCTGTCCGCTGTCTCCCAAGTGGATCTACACTGATATGCCAACCAGGTCTGGTGAGTCTTATATGCCAACCAGGTCTGGAGTCTGGAGCTCTTGTCAGTTACCTCTGGAAGCTTAGAATCCCCCATACCCTCTCTCCCCAGTGAAGATGTTCAATAAAACGTTACTTTGCATTATACTAATGGAGTGGACCTCAGTTTATGGGCACCAGAAGAAGGGCGGTTAGTGCTAATGGGTGGGCAGCAGAAGAACATACCCCTAGGCAGACTAGAGATGAACCGGGCAACCAGCAGCTCCTTCGGGGGTGAGCGCTACAAAATCTTAATTTAACACTCCAACAGTTCAAATACATTCCACATACAAACAAAAGGTTCATTTTCCTTAAAAAGCAGCCACAGCTTGAGGAGAAAAGCCTGTCCCCGGATTTGCTGATGCAAAGCTATTTGTCCGACTATCCGGGGATTAAAAACAATCGCAGTCAGTGATCCTCAACAACTTAGCATTCCAAAGGATTCAAAAACATTTACAAAAGTATCAGAAAATGTTTTTATACTTATCGGGGATCTGAGAGATTAATTAGAAAAATCTAATCTGAATAAATATCTTCATGACGGGGGCTCTGAATACGCAGAACAAGGGACAGATAGTCACCTATTGTAACCTCGAAGTTGATGGGTTTTTCTCCGCTCCTGCGATCAATCATGGTGGCCTCCAGGAAAGCTCCAAAGAGGAAGAATTCCTCCATCTTCCCAGTACAGTTCTGAGGGCACACAGAGAAGACAAATGGCTGAAGTCAGGGGAACAGCGAAACATAGGGGTGTATGGAGATGAAGAGGGTGAGGAGATGAGGAGGGGTTAGGGAGATTATCTTATATACTTCCGTTGCAATTTTTTTACCTGCAGCAGAGCCTATGCTAATGCACCCCTCCCCCAGCTTCTGCACTGACAGGGAACTTTATGACAGGGGACACCGATGGTCATTATGTATTCCAAGCCCACATAATATCCAATAGTGTCTTCTGTCGTAATGTCTCCTGTCAATGCAGCTTCGGGGGGCATTAGCAGGGGCTTAGTAGAGAACCTGCCGTGGTTCTCTACTATATTTAATTGTTATGCTTTATAAACGTTTTAATTTTTTTTAATTCATTTACTTTCAGTTGTTTACTGTTCAAAATGTTCATATATATATATGTTGCTGAATACTGCACAAGTTGTTTTGTGTAATAAATTAAAATGTTTCAGAAATGAAATCATTTTTGGGTCACGCCTTAATGACCAAGGAAACATGTGGGTCCCGAGGTTACACAGGTTGAGAACCGCTGCTTTAAAGGATATGCAAACCCAACAATGAACTTCTATTTGTTGCTGTGTTTTGGTCTAGTATATATAGAAATAAGGAGGGGTTATGGCGATGAGTAGGGGTTATAGAAATGTGGAGAGGTTCTGGAGATGAGGAGGGGTTATAGAGTCGAGGAGGGGTTATAGAGTGGAGGGGGGGTTATAGAGTCGAGGAGGGGTTATAGAGTCGAGGAGGGGTTATAGAGTTGAGGAGGGGTTATAGAGTCGAGGAGGGGTTATAGAGATGAGTAGGGGGTTATAGAGATGAGTAGGGGGTTATAGAAATGTGGAGAAGTTCTGGAGATGAGGAGGGGTTATAGAGATGGGGAGGGGTTATAGAGATGAGTAGGGGGTTATAGAGATGCGGAGGGGTTATGTAGATGAGTAGGGGGTTATAGAAATGTGGAGAGGTTATAGAGCTGAGGAGGGGTTATAGAGATGAGTAGGGGGTTATAGAGATGCGGAGGGGTTATGTAGATGAGTAGGGGGTTATAGAAATGTGGAGAGGTTATAGAGATGAGGAGGGGTTATAGAGATGAGGAGTGGTTATAGAGATGCGGAGGGGTTATGTAGATGAGTAGGGGGTTATAGAAATGTGGAGAGGTTATAGAGATGAGGAGGGGTTATAGAGATGAGGAGGGGTTATGGAGATGCGGAGGGGTTATGGAGATCCGGAGGGGGTTATAGAGATGAGTAGGGGGTTATAGAGATGCGGAAGGGTTATGGAGATGGGTAGGGGGTTATGGAGATGAGGAGGGGGTTATAGAGATGTGGAGAGGTTATGGAGATAAGGAGGGCTTATAGAGATGAGGAGGGGTTATAGAGATGTGGAGAGGTTATGGAGATGTGGAGAGGTTAGGGAGATGAGTAGGGGGTCATGCAGATGAGGAGGGTGTTATGGAGATGAGTAAGGAGTTATGGAGATGTGGTGGGGTTATGGAGATGTAGAAGGGTTATGGAGATACAGAGGGTTTGTAGATATGAGATGGGGTTATGGAGATGTGGAGGGGTTATGGAGATGTGGAGGGGTTATGGAGATGAGGAGGGGGTTACGGAGATGTGGAGGAGTTATGGAGATGCGGAGGGGTTATGGAGATGAGTAGGGGTTACAGAGATGAGTAGGGGGTTATGGAGATGAGTAGGGGGTTATAGAGATGAGGAGGGGTTATAGAGATGAGTAGGCTGTTATGGAGATGAGATGGGGTTATAGAGATGAGTAGAGGGTTATGGAGATGAGATAGGGTTATGGAGATGAGGAGGGGTTATGGAGATGAGTAAAGTATTTTGGAGATGAATTCTGTTCTCTTCAGCACAGATGGAAGAATTCTTTGGACACCGACCATGGAATGTGTAATTGGGGAAATGTAAACATAATCAGAAAACATATAACTGCACACAGATGGGGGGCAAATATAGTTTTCAAATTGTAAAATGTGTGAGCACAGAAGGGAGGACGCTTACATCAGCCACTGGGGGCGCTCCTTCCACTTGCACATCGGTGGAGCTCGTGAGCTCAGGAGAAGTTGTGTCTAAAATCTCCACAGCAAGACTCAACAGCAGCCGGGCCCGAAATGAGACCCCCTCTCCGAGCCCCTCATTCAGATCTTGGTGCTCATCCATCAGCGTGTAGTTCCGTGTGGAGCCGTACATGTTGACCCAAGCTGGACCCAGGGTTGGGAGGAAACCTTCACAAGACACAGACAGGAAGTCATAACACTACAAATACATTTAAATTAAAAAAAATGATACATTTTATAATTTATAAAAGGTTCAAACATCTCAGTTTTATATGTCAAATGTATTTTCAACTTGTAATACCACATTATGACCGGTAGATGGAGCCGAGGAGCACAGCACAGGTGGGGGTGGTTTGAGGGTGGGGGGCTGTGGACTGTGATATGGGAATTAGGGTCCCTACACACCTTACGATTATCGCACGATAATCGCGGGAAATCCCGCGATCGTACGATGTTCGTAAGGTGTGTGGAAGCCGTGTGACCTCTACTACTGTAAGGTCGCACGACTTTAAACTTACGGACATGTTTGAAAACCTGCCGAGCATCGTACGATGTTCGGCGGGTTTGTGGCATGTCCGTACGATAACAGCCGCACGGGCCGGTGTGCGCAAGCGCACACTGCCCGTTCGGCATTGCGGTCATCGGAAGCCCGCCCCTCAGGGGGCGTGGCTTGCGATCATCGCAAGTACGATCTGCCTATGCAACATAGGCAGATCGTACGTTTTTTAAGTACCTTACAACCCTCGCAAGACAAAAGTCTTGCGATGGTTGTAAGGTGTGTGCCCAGCCTTAGCCTTTAAGTATTCTATACCCCTAATAAAGTATACAAAATAGGCAAACTAGAGTCGCCCACATACTTAAAATGTCACCCTAGGGCCAGACAGCTTCCTCCACATGACTGGGGAATCTTCCAACCTCCGGCCCTTCCGGTCTGAACTTACAAAATGTATTGCTGACAATTTTGTTCAGACATCGGCCACACAGGGAGTGCATTGTTTTTATTGAGTCAGCTGACTCATAGACTTGCATTGTGAGAAGTAGGGGTAAAGCACAACTTCTTAAATACACTTGCCCTCCCCTGGAAACGTCATCCTACATTACGGCGTTACCTTTGTCGCCTTCGTTGGAGATTTTGCGCAGGTCTATGAAGTGGGTTCCGATGGCGACATCGTTGACTTTGTCAGAATCTCGGATCTGTATCTTCATCCTCTTACACAATGGTGGGAACATCTCCGTGAATATAATCTGCTCGTTCCACATGGGCTCGTAGCTGCTCTTCTGTACAGACGTCTTTCCCTGGAACAGAAAGAGGAGCCGCAAAGCGGGATTGGTGCAAAAAGTGTATAAACGAGCAAGGAGTGCAGAGAACGGAAAGAGTCTCTTATTATTTGATATGTTACAATGTTGCAACTCTGCATACAACGCCCCTTGCAATGGAACTACTTCCGCACTACAAGGGTTAACTGCTTGTTTATGTCTAGGGGGGATTGTGTAAAGGACTTTTCCTTACCTGACCCCCGCT